TACCGCCGGGCTAAGGATTGAATCCAGAGCCTTACAGATACACGTGTATTCTACCGCCGAGCTACACTCCACCCCATGCCATACTGCCTCTCAGAGTCTATAATTTTATGGGACATTTTCCCCTTATTAAATATTATATTGTAGAAGACTTGGGGAATAAATAAAAGCACAAATGCCTCATGCTTAAGTAAGATATTCCAATTAGAGGAGCAGAGTGAAGGGCAAACAGAAGAAGGAAATCTTGATTAGGATTAGGAGGAGGGTCCCCCCACCCCCAGAAGAGAGTTTCTCTGTGTAGTCCTGGCTGTCCTGGGACTTGATCTGTAAACTAGGCTGGCCTTGAACTCAGAGATCCACCTGCCTCTGCCTCCCAAGTGCTGGGATTAAAGGCGTGCACCACCACTGCCCTGTTAGGATTACTCATTTTTATTCTGTTAATCTTCTATGTTATGTATCTGTGTTTTAAAAGTTCAGTCCTCTACATTCACTACTTTACAAATCAAAGGGATTATTCTGTACAAATAAATGGATTAGATAACTTCCTGCCTGCCCAAGCTACCTTTTCAATGTGTGTTCATCAGGCTCTTGAAAGTGAGCCTTTGCTCACTGGTGTTTAGTGTTGGGTGGTACATGTGAAGGTGTAAGTAGAGACAAAGAGAAATGTAGTATGTCTCTCCTTGGTCAGTGAATTTCTAGGTAGGGACAGTAGTCATCACTGTGTGTCCCAAGCAGTGACCCTTGTACAGTCAAGTGCATGAAGCCATGGAGACACAGATACACAGGCATCTAAAACAACATTTAAGATTCTTGCCCATGATTTCAAAACTGTCTAAAGATGTATTCTCAAAAGGCCTTTGGACTCTTCTCTGTTTCTACCCCAGACTCTACTGTTTTTCTGGCTGCTGTGCTCCCCTGCCTCTTTCATCCCTTTCTTCCAGATATCCATTGCTCAGTCAATATTTTTGTAATGAAAAGTTTAAAATATATGGAAAAGAATTATACAGTGAACACTCACATATTCACCGTCTAGATCTCATAATTATTTGGCCATATTTGTTTACTCATGCATTTCAGTTACTTCATACTTGAACATGCATGCACATCCTTGATTATATCAGTTTATGTATGTGTGTTCTTAAAAATGTACACACAGTGGGTTTAGATTATTATATTTGAGTAGAGTGCTCAAATTTAAGCTTAATCATTTGAAATTTGTTGGTGGTGAGTTTTGTTGTTTTTCAAAAAAAATTTTTTAGCACATTTCTGTGTGTGTGCATCACACGTGTAGATCAGAGACAAATTGTGAGAGTCAGTTCTCTCCTTCTACCGTGTGAGGCCTGGGGATAGAACTCAGGTACAGGGTTGGTGGCAAGAACCTCTCTCTGAGCCTTCTGGATAGCCCGCTCTTGTTTTCCTGAGACAGTATCTTCGTGTGGCTCGGGCTGGTCTGCTGTGTAGATCAGGTCCCCTTCAACTCATGATCCTCCTGCTTCAGCTCCCTGAGTACTAGGATTACATGCCTGCTTGGTAGATATGCCCAAAGTCCTTCAAGATCCAGATACAGGACATAAAACCCCAGAAAGTTTCCATGTGTTCCTTTCCAGACAGTCCCCACCTCTGCCTTGTTGGTCATTCGTCATTATGAGGTGGTCCCCTCCATGTTTGGTTAATTGGCCCTGCTCACACATCCATGTAAATGAAACACAGCATGTGTGATGTGGCCTTCATTCATTAGGGTCTTTTTTTTTTTTTTTTTAAGTTGAGGCAGGCGGAGAGATGATTCTGCTGTTAAGAGCACTTACAGAGGACCTGGGTTTGGTTCCCAGCAACCACATGGTAGCTTACAACTGTCTAGAACTGCAGGAACTGCAGTTCCAGGGGATCTTCTGGCCTTTTTAGGCACCAGATATGAACATGGTACATATACATGAATGTGGACAAAAGCATTCATACCCATAACAATATAAAATAACCCCTGCTGGTCCTTTTGCGACAATGGCTGTGCCATTTTTCTATCTACCATCAGATAGGAAACTTCCTTATTGGTTTTTTAAAAATATATGAATACAGAGGCTGAGCATGGTGACACATGCCTGTAGTCATAGCACTTGGGAGGCTGAGGCAGAATGAGTCAAGGCTAGCCTAGGCATAGAGAGAGAAATATCTCATTTGAGTCCAAGTCCTTTGTGTGTGTGTACATATTTATATGAAATTTTAATATATTCATATATATATTTAATTTTGATAAAGTCTAATTTATTAGCTTTTTTCTTTTATGTTTTTGCTTTCTATATCCTAAGAACTTTGCCTATCCCCTGACAGACACATGCGTTTTTGTTGTTGTTGTTGTTGTTATTGGTTTTTGTCCAGTTAGATGGGTTTATATAATTTATTCTAATAGCTTTACATTATAGATTTTATGTGCTTGTTTATTATGTATAAACTTTCCGTGTTTGGTAGGAGGTAGGATATCCAGGAGTTTTACAAGCTGTATATCTAGGAGTTTCAGTACTTGAAAATGAAAAGAAACGATTGTAGTTATGTCACCATCTCAGGAGGCAGTGTGTTGGTCTCATGACATCTTATTACCATGTGTGTGCTCACAATGTGAGTGTGGGCAGGTGCATGCGTGACACACACGTGGAGGTCAGAGGACAGGCTTTGGGAGTCAGCTCTCCTTCTATCAAGCTCTACCAAGGCAAGTGTGTCCTCCCCGTGGAGCTGTCTCAGTGGCTGTAGCATTTCCTGTCATGCTTTTCACTAGACTGTTTTGACATCACTATGAATGGACACTTCTAGTCGTTTAAAGGATAGATTTCTGCTTGTTCTTGATTAGCCATGTATGGAGAGAGGAGTTCTTAGTTCCTGATCTCATAATCCCGCTAGCGTTTGTTTGATTCTGTTCTGCATGTCTCCACGTCCCAACTCAGTTAGTCCCTAGCCTCCTCTCTTATTGGTAATGAGTTGTAGAGACTGAGTTCTTTATTCTGTTTGCACCTAGGATGACCAGCATTCCAGTAAAGGAACGAGTGAAGCTGTCTCAGAACTGGCGGCTGGGGCGCTGCCGAGATCGGATTTTACTGAAGTGGAGATATAGGTAAGTAGCTTCTTGATTGTTTTAAAATATTTATTTGTTTTTATTGTATGTGTATTTATGTTGTTGTTGGTTTGAGATGGGGTCTCACTATGTATCTCTGGCTATTCCCAACTTACTGTGTAGACTAGGCTGTTCTTGAACTAACGGAGATCTGCCTACCTCTGCCTCTCAAGTTCTGGGATTAAAAATGTGCACCACTAAGCCTGGCTTGTAAGTATTTGTCTATGTCTATTTACCAGGTGTAGGCCTAGTACTTGAGGAAGTTCCAAAAGGGTGTCAGATCCCCTGGAACTAGAGTTACAGACAATTGTGAGCCACCATGTGGGTACTAGAATTGAACCCAGACCCTTTGAAAGAGCAACAAGTGCTGTTAACCTCCAAGCCATCTTTTAGCCTTACTTCTTGATTCTTTTGAGGCTTCCCAAGACCAAAGAGCACAGTAGAAAATATGAAATTAGATCATAGGGGCTATCTCTGGTGTGGTAACCACTAGCGGTTCTTCAGATACCACAAAGAGTCTAGCAGAAGGATGGCTTGCTAACATAGTTCAAAAAAGATTATTTTTAAAAAAATGTACTCTGGGGGCTGGACATTATGAGGCAGAAGGATCTCAATTTCAAAGCTTGTCTGGGCTAAAGCGCCAGCCTCAGTAACTTAAGGGGATTATATCTCAGTTTCTCTCTCTCTCTCTCTCTCTCTCTCTCTCTCTCTCTCTCTCTCTCTCTCTCTCTGTTTGTTTTTGTTTTGCTTTTTGAAACAGGGTTTCTCTGTGTATCCCTGGAGCATTCTGTAGACTAGGCTGACCTTAGAGACCCTCTGCCTCTGCTTCCCGAGTATCACGATTGCAGGCGTGTGCCACTGTTCCTACCCAGCTATAATTGTTGTTTTTTTAAAATGTGTCTCTAGGGAGTTAATTCTCTTCTTGGATTCTGTTAAACTCTTCGGGGAGTGGGGAGTGTCATGATGCTGGGAGCTCAAACCCCAGGACCTAGACCATGTTCAGCAGGTGCTTTAACATGGAGCTACAGCTCTAGTTCTGTTTCATCTAATTTAGTAGAAGGCAAAGTTGGGGCTGGAAGGTGCTCACGAGGAAAGCCTGACAGTGTGAGTGTTCGCTGAGATCCATGTGGAGAGAAAGAACTCCTGAGAGTTCACACTGAGCTCCACATGGGAGCTGTGACATGCATGTGCAAACGTATGTGCACATACAAAGTAAAGAGAGAAAACGTCATTTTAAGAGAAAGGCAAAGTGGGATATCAGGCATATGTGAGGTAGGACTTAGAGTGCCAGTGTATCTATGTGGTGTATGTCACATGTGTGGCCGTGCAAAACAGTGCCTGGACTCTGGGTGAGCTGCTGTCACCCTCCATCAGATTCCCTTGAAAAGGGCCTCTAACTGGATCTGACTGGAGCAAGGCTGATAGCCATCAGGTCTGGGTGATCCTCCTGTCTCTACTTCTCACTGCACAGTGCTGTGGTTACCGGCTTGTGTGTAGACAGACGCTGGCTCTTTACACAGTTGCTGGGAATTTGAAATCAACCTTCAGGCTTAGACAGCAAGTGCTTTCCCCGCTGAGCTGCCTCCATAGCCCAGTGCCATAAAATTTTGATGGTTGTTAAATCATGCTTATGCTTCATCAGTACCAAAGCATTTCATAATTATTGTTTGGCACCTTACCCAAAAAGTGCTTCTTGTTGGTTGGTTTTATTATATTGGGAGCTTTGTGACTTTTCATTCTGGCTGACCTGCCCGTTTGCTGATAGAAAAGGCACACCTTTGGTGACTGTCTTAGTTACTGTTCTATTGCTGTGAAAAGATACCATGACCAAGGAAACTCTCACAAAAGAGTTGCATTTCATTGGGGGCTTACCTACAGTTTTAGAGGCTAGTCTGTGATCATGATGGCAGAAAGCAAATAGACATGGCACTGGTCAGTAGCTCAGAGCTTTCCATACTGATCACAGACAACAGGGAAGAGAGAGAGGTGGGGAGGGGAGAGGGAGAGAGAGAGAGAGAGAGATCAAGAAAGAAAAGAAAAGGAAGGAAGGAAGGAAGGAAGGAAGGAAGGAAAGAAAGAAAGAAAGAAAGAAAGAAAGAAAGAAAGAAAGAAAGAAAGAAAGAGGGAGAGACACTAGGGGCCTAGGCTGAGCTTTTGAAACCTCAGAGTCCACTCCCAGTGGCACACTTCCTCCAACAAGGCCACACCTCTTTCTATTCCTTCTCAGTTCCTTCCACTCTCTGGTGACTAAACATTCTCACACATGAGCCTGTGGGGGCCATTCTCGTTCAAACCACCGCAGTCAGCCTTTATCTTGTTTGCTTATTTCCAATGGTTTGAATGTGCTGTGAATTATGTGATGGTATTATGATAGAGAAGTTATGAAAGAGAAAGATGGACTTTTATGGTGAAAGACTTTACCTTCTGATTTCCATTTGTACCTAGTGGAGGTTTTCTTAAATAGCAGGGTCCCTTTTGTAGCCCAGACCGACCTAAACCTGCCGTCCTCCTGCTTTAGCCTGCCGTACAGGCTAGTGCAATCATACCCTGCCATTTGTGTCTTTTAACATCAAAGAAAAATTCTCTGTCAAGCTTTTGCTCCTGGTGTTGTCTTTTAGGGCATTATTTAAGGCAGGCTGGGAATAAGCAGAACAGTTACCAGGCTGCCCCAGGATTCTCCACTGTTCACCTGGCGTGAGCCTGGTTTCTTGTTCTAGGTAAATAAATGTCTGTCTACCACACGGCTGTAAGCGCAGTCCAGCCTTCTCTGTTTGAGTGATCTACATAACTGGAAAAGATGCTGAAGAGGACTGTGAATGGTGAATAAGAATGTTGGCATCTATATGTGCTCTACACGTATTCTGTATAATATATGTACGCACTTGTAAAGACGGCCTGAGTAGAGACTCAGTTACTACACATTCCGAGCTGCATTTAATGGCCGGCAAGTCAGTTTGCAGAGCTTTCCACATTCCCATGATGCTTGTGTTAGCCCCATTTGCTCGGACAGGCTAGGCAGTGGGAGATGGTGTCTGGACATGGGGATGAGTCAGCTTTCCCTTTGCATTTTTTGAGACTGGTAGCTCCAGGACTGTTAGGTAGGGTAGGCACAGGCGGGAGAATGTCTGTCTCAGGGGAGGGGCTTAGGCCTCACCAGGGAGCCTAGCTGAGAGCCCTTCCCTTTCCTCGCCTTCTCTTCCCATATCGCCCCCTCCCCATCTTCTTCCAGCTTTTTTCACATCCTCTCTTTGTTTTTTTTTTTTGAGACAGGATCTTAATGTCCCTATAATGGCCTTACCCATCTATGTTTGGTTTTTTTGTTTTTGTTTTTGTTTGTTTGTTTGTTTGTTTTGGTTTTTCGAGATAGAGTTTCTCTGTGTAGTCCTGGCTGTCCTGGAACTCACTCTGTAGACCAGGCTGGCCTCGAACTCAGCAATCCATCTGTCTCTGCGTGTGCCACCACTGCCTGGCCCCATCTATGTATCTACAGATGGCCTGGAGCTCCTGGAGTGCTCAGGAGTGCTGAACTACAGGTGTATGCCACTCTGCCCAGAAAAGTCTTTTTCTTAAGGCTTTAGTCCCATGCCTGGCCTGTGGCTTGTCTCTTACCATTTGTTATGAGAGCTGAGCTCTTTCTAGCCCTGAACTGCAACATGCTGACAGTGCTGCTTTGGAGCATTCTATATCACCACACCTACCCTCCAGTACAGAAATGTCTAGGCAGGAGGATCTAGGCATCTCTTGAGCAGGTTTGCATACTTTCCTAAATGGCTAGATTTTTTTTTCACTTGTAAATGTGTCTTTGCTCCAATAACAAGGAAATGGGATTTCTTAAAACTCACCTTTCCTCTGTCACACCTGATCTGATGAGCAATGTTGGAGTCTTGGAACATAATTTGGACTTACCAGAAGGCAGAGGTCATATTACCTGGCCTGAAGTCTCCTTCGAGTCCCCCTCCTCCTCACCTGAGGTCTTTCAGTCCTGCCTGTCTGTAAGAGGTGCAGGTAGTGGCTTTACTTTGGTGTTTTGTTTCCCTCTCTAGTCAGATGCCTTGGATGCAGCTAGAGGATGCTTCTCTGTACCTATCTCAGGCTAATTTCATCCTGGCCTACCAGTTCCGTCCAGATGGTGCAAGTTTGAACCGTCGTCCCTTCAGAGTCTTCGCTGGACATGATGAGGATGTGTGTCACTTTGTGCTGGACAACTCCCATATCGTCAGTGCAGGAGGGTGAGCTCGGAGGCTTTCTCCTCTTCCTTAGTGTGCTTCTGGGACCTGGGGCTGCCTCTGGCTTCTTTGCTTTTGCGTTTTTTTGTTTTGTTTTGTTTGTTTGTTTGTTTGTTTTTTACACTTAAAGCAGAGATTTACCAAAAGCTGATAATAGGTTAGCCAGAGAAGAAAACAGGAAGAGCTTTTAATGCAAAGTGGAACAGGTTTGATATTCTCTAAAGGGAAGTTTATTTTCTGTCTCAGCTCTGTTAGCCTCACATGTGCTGAAGAAGTAAGTGTCTAAAAGCTCAGCTCCTTGTGGTCCAAGTTTCAGAATGCTTAGCAATTCCAGACATCACTGGACACGTGGGCTGTTTCAGTAGACTTGCCTTCTTTCTGCAAGTTAACTCCTGGGTCGGGCTCCTTATTCTCTTGTAGAGACGGGAAGATCGGTGTTCACAAGATCCACAGCACCTTCACTGTCAAGTACTCAGCTCATGAGCAGGAGGTGAACTGTGTGGACTGCAAAGGTGGCATCATTGTGAGTGGCTCCAGGGACAGGACGGCCAAGGTGAGGCCTTCTCCCCACACTGCACATACTGTTATTTCCTCCCGTCTATAAGGGCCTGGGGTAAGAGGATGGATGGAGCCTCGAGTCCAGGATTGGCTGAGAGCACTGGGTGAGAGCAGGGGGGAAGAGACACAAGAAAGAACTCACTTATGTACCTTTGCATAAGCTTGCCATGGTAGGCTGTGCTCCTGCCAGCTGGCTGGGGGAGGAGTGGCCAGCGGCTGGGACAAGTGCCACTCTCTGGAAATGTGGTATGAATGCAAAAGCACAAGGCCTGGCCAGCTTTTCCTCCCTGAGCTAGGTTTCCTTAGGTTTGTGGGTTGAGTTCTAATCCCAATATTTTATTCTAAAATCTCCCTCCTTTTGCTTGCTCTCTGTTTGGAGAAGTTAATTTTTCACCACCTTGTTTATAAGCAATCAGGCTGGTAATTAAAACATGCTTTTACTGATTCTCTGGAGAGCCTTGTGGCCAGCAGGCAGTGGAGAGGACGGAGCTGTTGATGGTGGCATCAGTGCCAGATTCCCTGATCCACAGACATCCACCAAGACATGAAAGATGAAACTGACACACACTGTAATCCTTGCTTTGTGGATCCAGTTCATCCAGTTCATGTCAGGTGCTGCTGCTTCTGGGACAAAGAAGAAAATTTCCAGTCTTGGGTGCAGCAGCCCTAGCCAGGATACAGGCTTTGGGGCTGCTGTGGGACTCTGCAGAAGACCCTGCAGGGCTTGATTATCTCTTTTCTAGAGTCTAGAGGCTCCACTGTAGCAAAATGATTATTCATATCAGCAAAGGGGCCTCCAGGCCACACAGAGAGAGCTCAGGAGGGAGAGGTTGCAGCTTTTCTCAGTAACTCCGATTTCGTGTACGCTCTGGTGACTGCCCTTTCACGGCACTGATATATATGAAGACAGCAGCTAACCAGGTTCCCTGCCATTGAGTTTTCTGCCTTATAGTTTATATCTAGAGAAAGTGCATGCCTCTGGGGATGCCTGAGGGGTCAGTGGTCTGTGCTTTTATCTTTGAGACAGGGTCTCAAGTAGCCAGCGATGCTCCCATTGTCAAGTGCTGAGCTTACAGCACTGAGAGTGAGTGAGTGAGTGAGTGAGTGAGTGAGTGAGTGACTGAGTGAGTGAGTGACTGACTGACTGAGTGAGTGAGGGAGGGAGTGAGTGACTGAGTGACTGAGTGAGTGAGTGAGTGAGCCAGGGAATGACTGAGTGAGTCAGGGAGTGAGTGAGTGAGTGACTGAGTGAGTGAGGGAGGGAGGGAGGGAGGCTTCCTGTCACCTGCTGTTTCCTCTTCCCATACCATCTTCCCTTTGAATTGTTGCTTAGTCACTGACTTTGTAGCATTCCTTGCAAAGATTCTGCCTTTAACTTGCCAGACTGCTCAGTAGTAAAGCTCAGAGTAGAGAAAGCGCTCAGTCAAGTGCTTGCTAGCTGGTTTGGGTTGTCAATCCTCACACCTGGGGACAGTGGCATTTGTCTGTAGTCCCATTGCTGGGGAGGCACAGGTGTAATCTCTGGAGAGTTGTTGTTGGTTTTGTTCTTTGATAATTCCATGCATGTTTATAATGCATCCTTGTTACCCCGGCCCTATGCTGTTCCCTCCCACCCTCTCTGCCCCATCTTCCTCACAGCTCTTCCGCGTATTCGCCAGCTTTTGTTCTTATTAGTGTCCTCAAGTTTAACAGGACTCTCTTTATAAGCAGGTGTGTAACAGGATACTATGCCTCTTCCTCTCCCAGAATCTGTTCAACACGAAAGTGCCCATAAACCTTCTTCCTCCATCACTGACTGTTAGGAGACCCCAGCGGCACAGGAGCAGCAGTTGCTGAGTTCATCACTGCCACCTCCATGTTGTGCTTAGAAGATAGTATTTTGAAGCCCCGCCCCCTACCTTCTAGCTCTTAGCATTCTTTCTTTGCCATCTTCCAGAGTGTTCCCTGAGTCTGAAGAGGGTGATATAAATGCCTTGGTTAGGTCTGAGCTCCCAACAGTCCTGTAACGAGCATTTTGTGAAGCCATGGGTCTTTGTATTCACTTCAAGGGGAGGCTTCTCTGTTTACAGCTAAGAGCAGCAGCCTTTGTCTGTGGGATAAGCAGGTATTTTGAAGGTGGTTTGGTGCTATGTTGATTCAGATAAACAATAGCCTTAGGTTCTTCTCTAAAACCTCAGATCCACCTCTCTTTCTCTTTTGAGACAGTGTTTGACTGTGTACCACAGGCTAACCTTGAACTTATAATTTCCTGTCTCTTGAAATTATAGATATGTATACCATGTGTCTGCTAGGATTATTTTCTAGCAATGTAGACTGTAACCAGGCACTGTGCTAAGCACTTTATTCATTTTTTCATTTTATCTTATTGCATAAATATCTTCCTTTGCATAATGGTGATATATTTTGGATACACAGTATCCAAAAATCTGTGGTATCTACTTTATAACCTTTCCTGTTTTTTCTTACAAGATATATATCTATTTAAATAGCTGTCCTTCAAGGCACTGTGTAGTTTAAGGGTCACCTTAAACTTCTGATCTTGCTTCTACCTGTTGAATGCTGGGATTACATGTGTGCTGTCACATCCGGTCTATGTAATGCTAGAGATCACACCTAGTGTTTTGTGCATGTTAGACAAATGCTCTACCAATTGAGCTGTATCTCCAGCCCCTGTGTTATCTTCAGTGGCTTCAAAATGAACTTACCATTATTTACTTACGGTTTTCTCTAGTAGATCCTTTCTTAAGTCTGCTAAATTCTGCATATTGTTTGTGCTAGTTCTTGGTGTTTACTTTCCCTTTTCTATATCATAGTCCGGATGAGCTGCTTGTTCTGTTATAATAGGCTACTGGAAATATCTTATCACTCAGGTGTTGTTTTAGGATTATTTTTTGTCTAGATGATTTTTTTTTTTTTCGAGACAGGGTTTCTCTGTGTAGCCCTGGCTGTCCTGGAACTCACTCTGTAGACCAGGCTGGCCTCGAACTCAGAAATCCGCCTGCCTCTGCCTCCCAAGTGCTGGGATTAAAGGCGTGCGCCACCACTGCCCGGCTGTCTAGATGAATTCTTATCCTTAGAGTTCCTGAGTCAAAGATCATTATAGGAGAGCCCTGCTGCCTCCGGTTTGCCTTCTAAGTGGGCTTTATGAATGTGTATGCTCACTGAGTGTTTTCCGGGGTGGGTCTGTCTCATTGATATTAAAGATCTGACCACATGGTTATTATGTCACCTCCTATCCCTCAAGTGCCAGGACACTCTTGTTGCTACAGGATGCTGTGCTATGGGACAGCCTGCCACTCCTAACTGATGCTTGGAATTGGCGATGTACTTCCTGATTCACTCTTAAAGATCAGAAACCTTATTCTGTGATTTGTGGGCTCTCAGATACTACCAGCTGTCTCTATGGAAGCTACTAGAAAACAGGTTTAGGCTGTCCTGGAGATTTTGTAAATCAGGAGTACTTTCTTTACCCCACAAGCTAGAACCTGACTCTGAGGAAGTTCAGAAAAGGCAAAGGCAAAGGTCTCTTCCAAGGTAGGCAGTCTAAAGGAAGAAACCAGAAGGGCATCTAGTTATTACCAAAGAGTTTGGCTGTCAAGCTCTAAGCAGATGCTAGAATCCTGGGCTTACAGGAAATAATTGAGATATTTGCCCTCAGTTTTTTTGTCCCTTCTCATTCAGAATATTCTCATTAAATTTCTTTTCTTAGTTTTGGGAAAAGTTATTCCTACTCTTACCCCATCCCCCACTCCATCATACCCACAAACTCCAAGAAACACTTTCTCCTTTTATAGGGAAGAGGTACCATGTGACCCTAAGAAGGCAAGACCACCCCATTCCATCACCTGCCCCTTACCCTGAAGGAATGTCTCCTTAAATTCTTCCATCTAAGGTCCTGCCTGAGTGTGGCGTGTTCCCCTTATAGCTCTCCAGGACCTTGAGAGGTCATTGATCCGCCCAGCTGCCAAGGGGTCCCTCTGTGGCTGCTCCGGGGAGAGCCCTGTACATTTGAGGTTTCCTTTCTGTTTGGTTAGAGGCTTATGTCCCTGTGTGTGTGTGTGTGTCATCTGGGGTAGGGTGAGGTGTGGGGGAGCCTTGTGCTTAATGGGAGATTTCTAAATGCACTGACTGCTGAGAGGCTCTGGAGTGTTGATTAGAGTTAAGCCCAGAGTGGCTGCTAATGTACATTCCTGACTGATAGGGCCCAGATAGTGTGCTCCAAGCAATATTTTTAACCTGTGGAGATATGGAAGCTTAAAAGAGTTAAGCTTTTCTGCTACTTTTGGTGACACTAGGTGCTAAAATTCCCTGCTGACATGAATACCTTTGGATCCTGGCCATTATGAACAACAACAAACAACAACACCCCCTCTCACTTTGAAGTCTCATCCCATTCCCTCCTTGTTTTGCAGCTTTCCTCTTACTCCTCTAACGTAAGACTCACACTGCACCTTGGTCTGCCTGCCGCTCCCTATATGCCTGAAGTAAGGTTTTGGCAAAGATAGAAGGGGAGACTCACAAACAGAGGGAAGTTTCTGAGAGAGGCAGGCGACTTCTAGCTACAGTTCCACAGTTAAATCTCACCCAGGGCTGTGTAACCTCTCAGCCTGGTAGAAATGAGGACTAGTTGGGTGGAAGTAAAGGTTGGTGGTTAGGGCAGGAAGCAAGGCCTGTCCCTGTGGCAGCTGAACTAGAAGCTGGAGAAGCCTCTCTGCTTGTACCCTGAGCTCTGTCTTTAGGACAGAAAGGATTCTCCATTCCCCCAACTCCCCAGTCACAGGCTTTCTGCCTGGTGTTTGCTTCTTCCTCCTAAGCCCAGGCAGTGCCAACAAGAGATTTCCTCTCCTGTTTCCAGGTATGGCCTTTGGCCTCAGGCCGGCTGGGGCAGTGCTTACACACCATCCAGACTGAAGACCGAGTCTGGTCCATTGCTATCAGCCCATTGCTCAGGTAAGGGAGACATTTGGATTTTTATCTCATTCAAGAATGGTTTTACTTTATTAGGTCAGATAACCCTAGAAGATTTTTCACTAGTGTATTCCTTCACTATACTTTGGAATTGAGATAACCTTTCCTAAGTATCTGACCAGAAGCACTAAGGAAAAGAGACATACTGGATGTCACTAAGGGGCAGTGTTACCTTTGTGGAGCAGATGTCCTCTGGGGTTGTTCCAAAGCAGAGGCTTCTCAGAATACCTGAGCGGCAAAGGCAGCGGCTAGCCTGCTGTCGTGACTCACCTCTGCTTTGTTCCCTGAAAATGTCTTCTGGTGTATCCCTTACATGCTCTGGGTATCAGGAGAGGAGAGGTTTGGGGCCTGCCAGCTGGGTCCCATCCATACATAGAGAAGAGCAGAAACAGGCAACTATGCTGGAAAGGCAGTGCTTTATGTGTGTGGTAGTTTGGCCAACAGGCACTTATGCTGGAAATGCAGTGCTCTATGTGTGTGGTAGTTTGGCCAATGTGCTCCTACTCATGTGCCTGGTTCCCATGGAGACCAGAGAGGGTGTTGAATCTGGAACTGCAGTTACAGATGGTTTTGAGCCACCATGTGGGTGTCAAGAATCAAACCCAGGTTTTCTGGAAGACCATCTCTCCAGTCCACAACTCCTTAAACAACAAACAAACAAACAGACAGACAAACAAACAAACAAACCTCTAAAACCAAAGTCAAAACAAGTCTTGTTGTGTAGCCAAGGCTTGTCCAGAACTCACAATACATCTCAGACTGGCTGTGAGCTAGATTTTCCTGCCTCTGCCTCCCAGTGGCCAGGATTACACCAAAATGCAGGTATTTGTTCTGCTTTAGCCAGGTGTGTTGGCTTATGCTGTAATCCCTGCACCTGGGAGGCTGAGGCAGGAACCATTACCTGTGTACTTAACGCCAGTGTAGGCTATAAGGTGAATTTCAGACCAGCCTAGGCCACAGAGTAAGACTCTGTCTCAAAAACAAAACAAAGTACACAAAAGCAAAATAAAAAAGTAAAATTGGCCAGGCAGTGATAGCACACACCTTTGATCCCAGCACTCGGGAGGCAGAGGTAGGCAGATCTCTGTGAGTTTGAGGCCAGCTTGGTCTACAGTTCCAGAACAGCCAAGAGCTACACAAAGAAATCCTGTATTGAAAAATTAACTGCTGCTTTCTTGGCTACTAACTGTTATTAAAAAGCATTTTATTGGCATATAGTCAGTGTACGTAATGACGAGTGTCACGTAGACAGTGTCTTTCAGATACATCATGTGCTTTGTATCTAGGCTTTTAAAAAATATTTTATTGTTTTGTGTGTATGGGTGTTTTGTTATGTATCTCTGTGTGTCACATATCCACAGTGTCCCCAGAGGCCAGAAGAGGGTGTTGGATCCCCTGGGACTGGAGTTCAGATGGATATAGTCACCCTGTGGATGCTGAGGCTCAGACCGAGGTCCTTCAGAGGAGCAGTTAGTGCTCTTAGCTGATAAGCCAGTGCTCCAGCCCCTGTCTAGGCTATCCTGAGCCAAAGAGGGACTCTCTCATCCCCAGGAGCATTTAGAGACTTTTCTATACTTGAACTATCTTAGAAGTTAGTAGGGTCTGTCTTCCTGCTCTTCCCTGATGCCTCTCTCATCCCACCTGAGTGGAATTGGGAAAGTTCGAGGCCTGCTACCTCTACCACCTCATACGTCAGTCACTTGTTTTTATAAACAAGTTGGTGCCCCTTTTGCTCAGCCCCCTTCAGCTTCTTTCTCCTCACTTCATGGAGCCTGTAGCTCTCCTCTTGCTCTCTTCCACAACTCCCTTTCAATTTTTTTCTTCCTAAGAATTAGAACCGATTAGCCACGTCATTAATTCTTCAATTTGACGGCTGATATAGCAGGACCTGAAACACATTGCTGACCTCAGAGAATGGAGACCCCGTTCCTTAGCATATTGACGAAGGGAGAAGTTAATTAAAATTCCACAGAGCAGAGGTGTCGGCTAACCTATAAACCTGTCCCTTTTCAGAACAAATCATTCCAGCATCTTAGGAGAGAGGAAGGGGATGACCGGTGACCAGCGGGGAGTGGGGAAGCTAAGTGTATGGAGCTCTGGGTGGGAAAATGGCACTGGCCAGCTTTGTCTCCTTGGCAGTTTCTCCCTGATGCCACTCTTCTGAAAGCCTATCAGCCAGGCTTGTGTGTCTGTGGCTAGATGTGTGTAGGACTAGAGAGAAGTGAGTGACAAGCATGCTGGCATTAGGGGACAGGAGCAGCTTGTTGGTGAAGAGGCTCTGGGCTAGAGATGGTCCATGCATTCAGTATATGTCACGGGGGTGTGGCAGGCTGTCCCCTGCACCCCAGCCTTAGAGTCCTCTACTCTAGCCACATCCTCTGGAGAATGTTGGGTTCCTTCTCTACAGAAAAGACCATATTACACCTATTGCAGATGGTGTCTGTAGAGAAGTTGAGAAAGGAGTTTGCCTGTCTCATCAGGAGGCATTTGAGATCACAGTAAGCCAAGTTGAGTGTTTTGGCCCTAACGTGGATCGGGGTAAGTGTGTGACTTTCAGTACTAGTGTTACTGTGGTGTAAGTACCACAGTCCCAGCACATAGTCACTGCGAGCCAGTCGCTCTCTCTGTGCAAACCCTCTACTAAGTCTTTCTGGGTCTCTTAATGCTCTCCTGCATGGTAGAGTCTGCCTTTATATTCCTAGCACTCTGGAGGATGAGGCAGGTGGATTTCTGTGAATTCTAGGTCAGCCAGTGCTACCCAGTGACACCTCATCTTTTCTCTTAAGCACCAGCTTTCAGCTTCAAGGCCTGTTATTTAGAGCAGTCTAGGAGATAAGTTCTCCTTTGCATGCTACAAGTAGGGTGGCTGTGGGCAAATCAGTCTCTTCTTCTATGCTCTGTATAGACATGACTGGATTACAGTGAAGATGAGCTGAAAGAATGTACATGCAGACCGAAAAGCTAAGTGCCGCATGTGCTTAGTGTTTAGTTGCTTTCTGGCCTCATGGGCTTCCCTGGGCTCTGCCTCCCAGGAGTCAGTCACAGGGTTCTTTTGTAGTTTTCTTGAGGTGGAATCTCCATAGGAATCTCTCTTCCCTGTCCTCTTCCTTTTGAAGTGACCCCAATGGCTGCCTTCTGTCTCCTCCCTGCCACTGTTCCTGTTGAATGTGTTTGTCAGTCACTGAATGACATGTTCCTGGATGTATTGGCAGCATGGGGCTTGTGAGCAGCCGCTGTCCTCTAAGGACAAGCGCTTCAGTTGCTCTGCTGCTTCCTTGAGCAGTTGCAAGAGACAGACCTTGCTCTGGTCTTTTCTCAGTAAATATCTTTCTCCTGTTAAAAACAGTTAGCCCTGCGCACTTTGTTGTTGATGTTGTTTGTTTGTTAGTTTTTCCCCCTCTTCTTTCCTTGGACACTTTTAGCATACAATATGGAGCCTCAGACTCCAGACTTAATATGAGGTATTTTTGACCAAGAGAAAGCAGGGATTCTGACCTGGCTCTGTCTAGGTATCACCTTTTGTTTCTGTGACTTTGAATTTTTAATTTGCAAACTGTTGTAGGAGGTGATATTTAATACCAGTTATGTGCTAAAGGCTATATTTATTTTATTTTTTATTTTCGAGACAGGGTTTCTGTATGTAGCCCTGGCTGTCCTGGAATTCACTGTGTAGAGCAGGCCATCCTTGAATTCAGAGCTCTATCTGCTTCTGCCTCCCAAGTGCTGGGATAAAAAGTGAGCACCACCCCTGCAGACCTCAAAGCTATGTTTACTCAAAAACAAAAAACAAAACAAAAACTAAAAGCAACAGTGGGCTTCAAAGTCAGGCAGCAGACAAGGGCTTTTTCCTTTGCTTCCTGTGTGCCCACCCACCCTTCTTACCTTGTCAAGACTTGGGTCTTATGGAATAGGCCCTGTTCCATATAGGAGTTTCCTACCTGTCTCTGTTGGATGAACAAGAGGAGGTAAAGAAGGCACACAATGTTCTTGAAACAGAATGGTCTGCGTCTTCTACACTTGTGTGGCACAAACACATTATACCTGGTCTCAGATATAGCTTCTAAGGTCACTGGAATTCTTAATACTTTCCTGAGTTAATGTAGATTAATATATTGTATTGCTATTTAAATCATTATTTCTACCTGAATGAAGCTAGTAAACACAAAACTCTTTCCCCTGCCTTCTTTTAAGTTTTATTTTTTGGTGTCTTTGAGGCAGGGTCTCAGTATTTAGCTACATCTGTCTCCCGTACTGGGATTAAAGGCCTATACCACCATACCCACCCCTACAAAACTATTTACAAGGCTTTATTCCCCATTAAAATTGAGGTGGAGAGATAGCTTAGCAGTTAAGAGCACTGGTTGCTCTTCCAGAGGATCCAGGCTCAATCCCAGCGTGTATATGGGAATCCATCATGACTCCAGTTACAGGCCACTTGAAAGGCTCTTTAGAACCTGAAAACACTCCTTTGTGCCCAGAGTTGACATAGGGCATGGCAGGGGAAGGCCACATATGAGAGAGACCTAGACTCACTCAGGTAAACGCTTCTACCATTCCAGGAGCACACAGACACTTAGGTCTTTGGTTTTCTGGACCCCACCATCCTAAACTTGGTGCCTGTGGTAAAATGAATCTATGTTTGCCTGGAAGGAGAAGGGAGAGAATCATGAAACTCTACTTCTCTCTGCAGACACCAGACCTATTTCCCTGAAATGAAAAAAAAAAAGGCCCTGGGTAGAGCCCTTGCCTCTGTGGACACCACTGCTGCTGTGTGAGCGAGCGCCTGTGGTCAGGAAGGTTTCCCCACACTTTGGTCTCTAATCCCTTCTCTCCTGCTTCTGTCATCAGGGAGATATATGAGTGGTATAGGTGTAGAAACTTGACTTAGCTGTGTTATTAAATATACAATATCATTTTGTGCACTGTGGTGGCTTGTTTGTTTTGTGGGGAATTAGTCCAAGTCTGCATGAAGTCTACCAATT